AATAATAATAATAATAATAATAATAATAATAATAATAAATCACTGTTCTAAAAAAGTAAATAATAAATTATAAAATCTTAATTATATTTAAATTCAGCTTTTGTTTCAATAGTACTTCCTGTTTCCTTTGCAGCAAAATACACAGTTAACGCCAGAGTGCGCCAGTTGTTAGCAAGTTTGTCAGCGTGTATGTGTAAAATGGCTACGAATAATTATTTCGGTTTTACTCACGGTGGAACGCAATATAGGTAAGCAAATATTATTTGTATTTAACATATAAAAGCTGCTGTAAAGCTATGTTATTTTTGTCTTATTTCCATTAATAGCTTTTGAAAGAAAATGATTTAAGTTATTGTCATAACCGGCGTCCTTGAGTAAATGGCGCCGGCATTTTGTGCGATCAATAACTTCACTATCGTCCATTTAGGCGGGCGTATCATCTTCTATATAATCAAGTTTTTAAGTTCTTTATATGTTATTCCATTTTTATATGCATCTTTATCTTGATATTGCGCTCTTTATGTGTTACTGATAAATAATATTCCGAAATTTTGTGAAAAAATCCAAGTATTATATTTTAGTGCAACAGCTACTGGAGCGGCATATCAAGCCGGCCAGGCTGGCTATGCTGTAGCAACTCCAGCCACAGCAGCAGCTGCAGCCACTTACGGAACTCAAAGGGCAGCAGGATACGATACAGCGTATCAGGCTGCTGCTGCCTCTCAAGGAACTTATGCAGCAGTTGGTACCGGTGCGACGCCGGCTTACGAATACGGTTACGGTAAAATTTTATTACTATTTTTTTTATTTAATACTATTCCGGATTGCTTTTTAGGACAAACAGCAGCCGCTGGGTATACAGGAGGTTACGATCAAGCAGCAGCTGCAGCTAAGCCCGCTACTTATGCGACAACATATACTCAACGAACTGGTCAGCAGCAAGCACAAGCAGCGGTAAGTTTTCTTTTGTTTTCATTCTCAGAAACATCGTATATCAACTTCAGGTTGTTCCTAGTGGTGGAAATATGCTTTTTAAACCTCATATTATTGTTTTTCATTCTTATTCAGTTTGTTATAACAGTAGTTTCTTTTTTGCCTAAAACTACTGTTATATCAAACTGAAAAAGTATAAATATCCATAAGTTAAATTCTACCTTTTTAATAAAATGTATACAGTAAAACTTCTCTTTACTAATCCTTGATTATTTGATACTCCGAAGTTTTCCATGTTTCATATTGTTTTAATAATGACTTTATAAGCTGTTTTATGGCAATGAAGTGCTTGCAATAAAAAAATGTGTATTTTGTCATTGAATACTATCATACAATGAAAGTTAATGCGAACAGTTAAAGCAATTTTGCTAATAACTGCTTACATTAATTTTTGATTTTAAAATTTTTTATTTGAATTGTACACCATTATCAACCTGTGGTGTACTAGATTATGAATATTTTATTACAGAAAACGTCATATTTATATAACTCCTCTCTGTTACTAAATAAAAGAATGGTGGTAAGATTTTAGATGGGCTTAATTTTAATTGAACTAGTTGATTAACAGACGGTGCAATTAAGGCAAAGTTCTACCACATCACAACTGTCTGTTAGATTCATTTCAATTTTTTAATTAATTGCCAGTGAACTAATGACTGCAAAAATAAAAATATTGTGGTCAAGGTAATTTGTTACACTGCTTGGGTATGCTGCGGGGTCGGGTGCAAGGGTGTTACAGCTGGAGGCGGAGACTTATCGTCATCGTCCCACTACGATGATTTTACAGTGGACGTATTTAGAATATACAGGGTGGGCCATTTAACACTCCTGCTGCCAATATCTCCGAAATGAAGAAATTTATTTTAGTTCCGGAAACTGGGGTTGTTAGGTCCCTCCAATAGTTTCAAATTGCAGTTAGAATTGTTAGTTCAAATCTTTCTGTATAGATGGCGTGGGATACTAAAAAAAATTTTGATCCCTGGCTAACTAACAAACAATAAATTATAAAAAAAACAAATGATATAATGGTATAGAAAAAAAATTGTATAGGTCTTTTAATATCTCTTGAGCCGCGAAATGCGCGAAAGGCGTGGCGTATCCCCATAATTCTAATAAGCACGTTGTGAAAACATTGACTCAGAACTAGACCATGTGCATTATTCCAAGTAGACATGAACTAAGGCGCTCGGGCATCAATAAAGTCAACTGGCGAACGTTCGTTATATATATTTTTATAGTTTAAATTAAAATAATGAACAATAGGGCATTTTATTATATTTGTAATCGGATCAAAGGCTTGTTTACGCTAGAGCTCGAGAGAGCATGTGAATAACAGGTGTAATGTTTTTAAGACGTAGAATAATTTAGGCGACGGTTGGAATTATGTTTCTGCGCATATGAAGATCAAAGCTCATAAGATTTTAAAACATCTCTACAATGGTAATCTTATAAGGTTCAGAGACTAGCCATATTTTATTAAATATTATTAAAAAATTAAGTCATGGCTCATGTCATTTGTTTGAAATAAAACAAGTATGACACATATTAGTTTTCCAATAATTATTTTTTATATCAGGTTGCGTCTTTCAATTTAACTATACTAGTTATTAAAATATTTTTACATAATGCATTACTCAAATCAAGATAAATTAGATATGATATTAATATTTGGCGAAGCTCAATGAAATGCTGCTGCTACACGACGGTTATATGCTATACATTTTCCAATGAAGCCTTGGCCGGATAGGAAAACATTTGTGTAAGTTTATGCCAAAATTTACTAAATTATGGTAGTTTTTCTAAACCTAAATGACATCGAATTAAAACTGTTAGGAATGATGAGAATACAGCTCAAGCGTTACAAATTTATTAATAATAATCCTAAGACTTCCCTAAGGCAACTTCAGGCCGAATCTAACATTTCTATGACATCTTGCCTCAGAATTTTGAAAGACAATCACTATTACCTCTATAAAATTCACCTCGTCCAACATTTAAGAGCTAATGATGAGCAACGGAGACTTTATTTTATAGCTCAATTTTCAGTGCTCTATGAAGAAAACAATAATTTATTTAATAATATCTTATGGAGTGGTGAAAGTAGATTTCACAATAATAGTACGGTAATACGCCACAATTGCCGCTATTGGTCTGACAATAATCCAAGAGTAATGCACCAAACCCAAAATCAATCTGTTTTTTTCTGTAAATGTTTGGTATGGCATTTTGTATGTCTATTTAATTGGACCATATTTTTACCAATTTATCCACAAATACGATCCACTTCTTATTTGTGGAAGGGCGAAATGGGCGTTAACTATTAGACGCCTTCATTATAGCCATCCTTGTCTATCACATGAATTTCTATGGCTTACTTTATCGCTCTCACGTAACTTCTGATAGACCATCGGTACTTTCCTACACTGTAGTTAAAAGTGGCAAGTTACACATTTAAGCGATTATGCGAGCTTTGAATGCCAATACAATAATATTGATCAGGAACAAATTGATAGAAGTGTTATAAAATTCACGTTAGTAAACAGACTATTTATTATTGTGTATTTCATTTGTCGTTATTGATTACTGTTTGATTTTTTTTTTTGTTGTTTGCTTTGTTGAACACTCACATCGTTCTCGGGACGAGTGATGTGGCGCTATTTGAGGTTACACTAGCTTGTTCAGCGGTGGGCTAAAAAAAAATACTAAAAAAAAGGTTAAAAAGCGTTTAGTTTTTACGATGGAATTTGACAAAATAAAATATTGATACATAATCCGGGCGAATTAGACCAAACACATGGCTGTTTAAAAAATCGAGCCTAACTCGAATTTTAAGGGGCTTAAAATTAAGTAAAAAATACACAGAATAAAAGCCTAAATTTGTGTATTTGTAGAGGTCGAGCGTCATATTGTTTATAACAAAAGAAAAAACAAAATTATTGCTCTTTTTTCAGTTTTTCGCTTATCTCCGAAAATAAGTCTTTAATCGACATGAGGTATTGTTATCGATTTTCTTCCTGAGGAAAGCTAGAAAGATTGGCTTTTGCAAAATCTCGCTAAAATTTTTTTACATTGCAAAATTAGCAGTGGAAAAAAAATGTGCCAAATTTTCAGAATTAAATAAAAAGAACAAATTTGACTGAAATTGGATGAAACTACAGGAAAAGATAACCGTTGAGGTGCTCAACAAATATTCGCAATTCGGACCCCGAATTTCAAAATGGCGGCCTATTGCAAAATTATAAAGTCGAAAACGCGAGCGCGTATATTTTCTGCCCAAGTCAAGATATCGAAAAGGTTTAATTCTACATTAGGTCTAATTACATTATTGTCTTTATCTCGGCAATTTTTTAATATACAGGGCGTCTCATAATTAGCTGCCAACCCTGAACAGGCCGATTCTATGATCAAAACTAAGTAAAAAAGTTCATATGAACATGGGTCCGGAAATGCTTCCTAAGGGCACAGGGACCCATTGAAGAGGGAGGAATGGAAATCATTTTTTTGCAATATCTCTCAATCGCGTTGTGATAAATGAATGAAATTTGGTATACACAGCTAAATTTTGATGAGCAATTTGATGGACTAATCCATTTATTTCCACAAGGTCCATTGGGGTGGGTACGGGGGGGCCCTTGGTACTTTGCGTGTGTAACTTTTTCATCTTTGACTTTTTAACAAATTGGACAGCAAATTCCGTTTTCCCGAACTGTTTTACGTTAAAAAGGTACTCTTGTTTCAAATCGTTATCTTTAACGGTTTCTGAGAAAATCGCTCTTGAATTAATCCCACTTTGGTCAATTTCATAGTAATTTAAACAAAAAAAAATATTTTGTTTCAATTTAATCTAGTTTTAATAAAAAAATAATAATAAAAAATTAAATTAAATAAAAATTAATCCTTTAAATGGAAAAGAGAGGAAAGGAAAATTATTATTATTATTTTTTGTTTAAATTACTATGAAATTGACCAAAGTGGGATTAATTCAAGAGCGATTTTCTCAGAAACCGTTAAAGATAACGATTTGAAACAAGAGTACCTTTTTAACGTAAAACAGTTCGGGAAAACGGAATTTGCTGTCCAATTTGTTAAAAAGTCAAAGATGAAAAAGTTACACACGCAAAGTACCAAGGGCCCCCCCGTACCCACCCCAATGGACCTTGTGGAAATAAATGGATTAGTCCATCAAATTGCTCATCAAAATTTAGCTGTGTATACCAAATTTCATTCATTTATCACAACGCGATTGAGAGATATTGCAAAAAAATGATTTCCATTCCTCCCTCTTCAATGGGTCCCTGTGCCCTTAGGAAGCATTTCCGGACCCATGTTCATATGAACTTTTTTACTTAGTTTTGATCATAGAATCGGCCTGTTCAGGGTTGGCAGCTAATTATGAGACACCCTGTACAGATTTCAAAATAATTGCATCAAATAGTATTTAAAAAAACCATGAATTAAGAAAAAAAAAGCGTCTCGATCCGACCAATAGGAGCCGAGATAATTTTTTTTCTTTAAACGATATTTTGGCTGTTCTATTTAATATTTTGGAATAAACTTAGTCTCGTTGTAAAGTAGAAGACTTCCTTTATACGCTGAATTTTTTTTGAATGGATTCGACCAAGAAGTGACCAAGTAAACGTTTGTAAAGGTGCGTATACATCTGCGCTTCGCTCCGAGCGCACGCCGCGCGTTTGCAGCAAGTTCTCTTGATTAGTACGGGGTTTTCTAGATGCGCACGAACCGCGCACACAGGGCGCGTCACGATCCACCTCGAGTCGGTTTTTTCGACGAACGGTTTGTGTGTTCGCAAATTTAGACTTCGATGAATTTTGCCATTTTGCCACATTAAAGTCACGTGCTCTACAACGTAAACCATTAACTTGAAAAATGTCTAAAATATATTATACATTAAATATTTATTTTACTTTTAATATTCTTATAAAAATAAAAAACTTTCTCTA